TTTGCTTCGCATTTGCTTCGCATTTGCTTCGCATTTGCTTTTTGCTTTGCATTTGCTTCTTGCTTCTTGCTTCGCATTTGCTTCGCATTTGCCGAGCATTTGCCGAGCATTTGCCTCGCATTGCCGGAGCCTCATCCTCATTGGAACGGCGGCGAAATGTTGCGCATGGCGAGCATGAAAGCAAGGTCGAACAAACCTCTACTCCCAGACCGCAGTAGACGAAAACCCTGTGCTACGCATTGAAGAAAAATCAAGATCAAACAATATAATATCAAACATACAACACCGTTACTGCAAGAGTTGTTCATAGTGGAATCAAGGCAAGGTATGTTCAATCAAGATGTTAATTCTGTTTTATTGACAGGCGCTTAGCTGATCGTAGGCTGGCATTATCGGCGATTTCGTCATTCCTCACCTGTGCTTCGCGGCACCTCCACACACGCCGGGACTCAGGACCATGTATTATATAGTGTGCGTTTGTGATAGTAATGTTTTTCTCGCCCCCACCACCGTGCCACAATCGATACCTTGACTACGGGACAGAACGAGTCAAAGCCACGCTAGCTCGCTGAGTTCGCCTTGCACTGCACGTTTCAACCACGGTTCGTGGGCGCGTGCGAGCTGCGCCTGACACTGACTCTACAAGCGATTTGTGCAACTTGTCATGCATTTCTGATCAATTCTTAGATTTGGCGGGGCCCAATCCTGTGTCCTTACATAATTCATCATAATTCGAATATCCAGCCTGTCATTGTGCACGTGCGCTTTTGATTCCTTTCCACAACGAACTTCGTTTACAACCGGAGGCCGTGTTTTGTATTCCGCCTGCGTTTGTCGAAAAAACGCTCGATTGGTCCGATTGCCGCCTGCCAATTGTTTCATTTCGAATTCACGTGAGGATGGGGGCGTGGCCAGGATTCTGCGATTGGCCCAGACATGACATGTCAAGATGTTTTGGCTTTCGGGTACTTCGGTTTCTGCACGAGACCGCTTCGGGTTCACGTCACAGGTCGCAGCTCCCAGACACGTCGACTGCCGAGTTCGGGTGGAATAACTTGGACTATTGCAACTGGGTAATGGGAGGTTATTGGTTCACTGCATGCAGAGTCTGAGGCTTTATCATGATGAAGTGGATTTCTCGAACAATGAGCTCACTTCGATTGGTATGGCTTCTGTCATGGCCTCGCTTATGTGCGAGGGGCAGGTGGAAGCAGTGTCGTTCATCAGGTCGTTGCCATTTGTAAAAGGAGCTCCTCTAGGCTCCCCTGAAAACGCAAAGGAAGTGATTCAGGAAAAGCTGTGAGAAGAGGTACATTCATTAAAGTGGAAATGAGTCTCCATTACTACTATAGCCATTATTTCTGAGGTTGAAAGTGCTGAAGCTCTTCAAGAACTCAATCGCAGACGACTGCGTGGCGCATTTTGAGGATTTGTCGTTTCCTTGGCACTGTCTGAAAGAGGGATTGCGTGAACATGCGTGAACAATGACTTTGTGTCATTATGATTTATTTTGTATGCATACCATATTTTTACTATTATGCACCGTCATTGTTTGATTCAGCAGTTAAATAAAATAGTTCCCCACCTGTCAGGTGAGGGTTGTTAGATTTTATGTCAGCCCCATCTCCTTCCTTCTCCTTCTTCTCCTCCCTCTCCTCCTCGTCCTCCTCCGCCGGACCCCAACCACAACCATCCACGTCCAGTGTTCCCTGCCGACCTCAACCGTGACCATCCACGCCCAGCGTTCCCTGCCGAACCTCAACCACGACCATCCACGCCCAGTGTTCCCCGCCGGACCGCAACCACGACCATCCACGCCCAGTTCCCTGCCGGACCTCGACCACAACCATCCGCGCCCAGTGTTCCCCGCCGGCCCTCAACCACGACCATCCGCGCCCAGTGTTCCCTGCCGGACCGCTACCACAGCACACAACCACAAACACATACTTTACAAACAGAACAACAAACAGAACGACAGACACAACCACAAACACAACCAGACACACAATCACAAACACACAACAAAAACACACAACCACAAACACACAACCAGAAACACAATCACAAACACACAACCACCAACACAACCACAAACACGCAACCACAAACACACAAC